TTTTATAATTTGTTTTACTCATTAAAATTATATAGTAATGGGGCCCGACATAAACCCGAAACCCGAAAAAATACACGAGCCGAGCCTGAGCCTATACTAATGAGGCCCGATGGTATGTGAGCTTGAGCCTGTAATAACGAGGCCCGATGGTATGTGAGCTTGAGCCAACCCAAGCTCGACTCACATGGCCCGATTGCCAGCCCTACCTATTGTAAGGTGGATATATAACCTCCTTTTCATTATTAGTGAAAACCCCCCACCTTATATTAAATAATTTATTTTTAATTAATATTGTTTTTGACATTACTAATATACCTAATTTGCCCTATTATATCTAGCGCAAATGGCAAAAAGGCCCATCACATGGGACTTAAATGCATTTTGGTCAAAAAAAAAAAACAGTCTCTCAATTAAGCCCATCCTCATGTCTTTAGTCTAAAATACCCTCCATAATATAATTCTAATCAATTTCATCCTTTATGCTCTAACTTCCTTAAAATTACACATTGACCCTGGATTTAAACAAATATATCACATTAACCCCCAAAATATTTTTTTTTTCAGAAAATAATTTTTTTTCTGAATTTTTTTTTTCGGCCAGACTCTGGCGTTGACTTTTTTTTTTTTAATTTTTTTTTCCTGAATTTTTTTTCCGACAGGTCAACCACCGTTGACCGGTGGTTGTTGACCAACTGTCTCCGGCGTTGAATTTTTTTTTTTTTTTTTTGAATTTTCTTTTTCTTAGAAAAAAATATTTTAATTAATATTACTATCTTGGCCTCTAAATTACTGCCTCAGACATTATATCACTGTTTGGGACAATATTATTATGAATATTATATTCCCGAACAGTAATATTATTAATATTACTGTCTAAGACAGTTAAATTACTTTTGGAGACAGTAATTTAGTAGTCAAGGCAATAATATTAATTCAAAAAAAATTCAAAAAAAAAAAAGTCAATTAACAGTTAAATTGTTGTCTCCGACAGTTAAATAACTGCTGGAGACAGTAATTTAGCAACAAATACAGTAATATTAATTAAAAATATTTTTTTTAAGAATAAAAAAGTCAATTAACAGTTAAATTACTGACTCCGACAGTTAAATAACTACTGGAGACAGTAATTTAGCAACGAATACAGTAATATTAATTAAAATATTTTTAGAAAAAAATCAATTACCAGTTAAATTACTCTCTCTGATAGTTAATAACTGCTGGAGACAGTAATTTAGTAGCAAAGACAGTAATATTAATTAAAATATTTCTGAAGAAAAAAAAAGTCAATTAGTTGTTAAATTACTGTCTCCGATAGTTAAATAACTGCCGGAGACAGTAATTTAGCAGCCAAGACAGTAATATTAATTAAAATATTATTTTTAAGAAAAAACAAAATTATTAAAAAAAAAAAAATAGTCCACGCCGGAGACCCGGCGGTCAACGGTAGTTGACCGGCCGGAAAAAAATATCAAGGAAAAAAAAGTTTTTCAAAAAAAAAAAAAAAATCAATGCCGGTCTACGGCGGCGACCGGCGGTCTCCGGTGGTGGCGGGTCAAAATTGGGGTCAAAATTGAAATTAGAGTTAAAATTGGTTAACTGATGAAATTGGGCTAAATTAGGGTGTAAATCAAGAAATTGGAGTTGAATTGGGTTTCAATGAATTTGGGGGTAATTTTGGTATATATAAAGGGATTTTCGTTATTTGCAAATAAAGTTTGAATGGGTTGAATTTATTTGAAAGACAAAAAAGTTGGATATCCCTCTTTTAATTAAGTGCTCTTGTCATGGGTCTATTTGTCATTTGCCCTTATATCTAAAATAACCAAGCATATTTCACGTTCTCTCTATTCCTCTTATTATTCTCTCTCTTTTCTCTCTACATATCGCCGCCTCCAACTCTCTTCCATCTGTATTCTGCTACCGCCTCCAACCCTCTTCCATCTGTGCGCCGCCATTGTTACTCTCTTCTCCCAACGGGGTACCTCCCTCCACCGACGCGAAAAGAAGACGGTCTTCACCCATGGGATTCTCTCGTCAAGGACGGCGTTAGGGTTTTCGCTAGGGAGAAAGACGAGATTATGCAGCGGCGCTAGGGTTGATATTGCGTCTGAGATTTCAATACAGACCACCGCCAACATTGTTGTTGTTGTTGTTCTTCTTCTTTGATTTTTTTTTTGGAACCCAATTCTTGAATCTTAATTTTCTTAATTGGAGTTTTTGGTTGAATTCTTATATAGAAGGCTAATTTTGTGTTCGATCAATAGTATAATGGATGTTTGTTTTTGTTGAAATTGTGTGGTGTTATTTATAGATTTATAGATATTTTTCGTATAACAATATAGTTGTTTTCGTACAGTAATATAGTTGTTTTTATTACTTTTTAGTTGAATATAATAGTTGATTTAACAAATTGTTGATTTTGATAAATGAGAGTTGTTGGAGATATATAGTTGTTTTAATCATATTGTTTTAATAATAACAATTATTTTAATAATAGTAATTTTATTGAAATATAGTTATTTTAACTGAAGAAAAACAAATATAGTAAAAAAATATTTATGAAAAATATAATAAAAAGTTAAAAGAATATTTTCTTTTAAAAATTTTTTTGAAAGAAAAAATAAATAAATAAACGAAAATTAAAATAAAAATACAAAAAAAAATAAAAATTAATCAAAGTATTGTATAATAGGTAGTCAACAGAGAAAGGGTAAATTTGAGAATAAAAAAAGAAGAGTAAGAAACAGTTTGCCCCCTAAACTAAGGCTGTTTTGCACTTTGCCCCGCAAACAAAAAAAATTTGCACGATTTTACCTAAACTTGTTATTCATTGCACGGTGCCTCCTAAAAGGAATATTCCGGCAATTTTGACCGGAATGGGAAATCATGTGCTTTGCACGTGAAATTTGTAGGGATAAATTTGTCCATTATTTTATATCATATATATTAATATAAACTAATCATTAAAAGATAAAATTTAAAAAAAAGGAAAAAAAAAAAAAGAAAAGAAAAAAGAAACGAAAGCTGCCAGCCTGCCACCATCCCGTCGGCCACCAAAAAAATGCCAAACTTTGTTCTTTCCACCATTTTCCACCATTTTTTCTTAGTTTAGTTATTGCCCTTCAAAATTCAAGCGGATTTCTTAAATAGAAGTTTTTTCACACTTTTATTTGCAAAAATGCCCTAAATTTTAATTTTAGCTAAAAATATATGAAAACAATGTGCGCGTGTCTATAAAATGTTGCGGCGCATTCTTCGAGCATGAACGGTGATGTTTTTACGCATTTTTCGAATATGAAGGGTGATGTTTCGGCGCATTATTTAACCACCAACGGTGCGTTGTCGATTTTCTAATTTTCATCGATATTTTAAAGTCCACTATTTGATTTTGTTTTGAAACCTTGATATTTACACCTACATCCTTCTTGTTTCAACTTATTACATTCAACTTCCTTGCTTTTCAGTAAGAGTTTTTCGCACTTTTATTTACAAAAATACCCCATATTTTTAATAGCTAAAAATCTATGAAAACAATATAAACGTGTTTATAAAATGTTGCAACGCATTATTTGAGCACGAAGAGAGATGATTTGGCGAATTCATTGAACATAAAGGGCCCTTTGTCGAATTTTCAAATTTTCATCGCCAAATTTTAAAGTTCATTTTCAGTCAATTTCACAAGTTCGATGTCACTTTTTAATCGACTTGAAGAAGTTCACGACCATTTATTTTAATTACTCAATATTCAAAAGGTCACCACACTATCAATTTTCAGTTAATACGTCAAACTTCGCTACCAATACTCATAAATTTACAGACGAAGTTTGTAGTATTGATGGAATTTCGAAATTTATTTGATTTTCATCATTTGCATAAAATATTTAACAACACAATATAAATAATAACTCATAATACAAAATTATTTATTGGTACGTAAATGTTGGAATTATTAAAAAACTAATAATAATAATAATATTAATACAAATTTAATTAGGAGTAATAAATGAATAATAATTAATAAAATACCACCGTCAAAGGTCTCGATCTTTCTTAGGTGGAGGGTCGTTTTAATCACCTAAAAGAAAAACGCTTAAAAATGTCAGACAACATTGAATCCGCATATAAAACAAATTCCTCAAACCCCCCTTGAGCCACCGCCATGGCCGAAATCGAGCAGTCAGCCCCTCAATCCGAGACCTCAAACACCACCACCAACGTATCCTTCAGCATTTGGCCACCGACCGAGCGTGAGGAACCGCCTCGTCGAAACCCTATCGTCCCCCTCCATTCTGTCCAAGCGATACGGCACCGTTTCCCGCGAGGAGGAGGCGTGCCTAGAGGCCGGGAAGAGGAAAAAAATAAGTGAAGAGACTACTTTGCCCCTTTCAAACTCAGGTGATCTGCACATGTTTCAGAACATAGCCACCGTGCAACAAAATATCGAGTTCGGGTAAAATTTTGCAAAAAAAAATTGTTTGGAGGGCAAAGCGCAAAATCGATCTTAATTTAGGGGTAAACTGCTTATTACTCAAAAAAGAAGACCTCATTAAAATAAAACTAGAAAGGATTCTCAAATCCCTCTCTCTCTATATATATATATATATATATTTGTTTTAAGTTGGAAAGATTATAAAGAAACATTTAACCTAAATTTAATAGGTTAAATTTAATCTAAGTAGGAGATCTTTGGTATATACTAATTTCCTTGTTCCATTAAATTTCCTTTACTTTGGTAAAGTAATCCTTCTCTACATAACCTCTTCCCCTACAAACTCTTCCCCTCTCCCCCACCCCACCCCACCTCTTCCCCTACAAACTCTCCCCCTCTCTCCCCACTCCACCCCACCTCTCCTACTCTCTCTCTATATATCTCTCTCTCTAACTCTTATATAAACACAACAATAACAACAAAAAGAAAACAAGTAGAAAAAAGGAGAGACTTTTGTTGAAAAGTGAAACACCTATTTTAATTTGTTTGTTTGTTTGTTGGCTTGATAATAATGAGTAACTACATCAAACAAGAACCCTCTGAATCATCATCAGACATGTTTATGAAAAAGAATCGCAGCCGTCAAACAATTTCGTTAATCAGTAGCAGTAGCAGCGATTCCGATGAAGATGAGTTTGGTACCCAACTTAACCCGAACAAGAAGCAGAGAGTCGAAGCGGTTCTGCCGGCTGGATTCCTCGATCCTATCCGGCCAGAAAAACCAACCGCCGCCGCGCCGCCTATTACCGCGGGTAATGCTATGGTTCCGGTGAGGGAAGAGATTAATAATGTTTCGGCGGCGGTGGAAAAAGGGAAGCGGGCGGCGGCGGTTACCACTAATACTGCGGCTGTGGTGCGTAACTGTAAGCAGTTCTGGAGAGCCGGAGATTACGAGGGAATCTCTAACGGCGGCGACGTTTCACTTGGTACGCTTACATATTTCTTTCTTGATTTATTAATATTTAATATTTCATGTTTAGTAATTGTTTCAATTTCTTATTTATTTTTCATCATTAATTACGTGGTGAATAGTATTAAGAGTGTGAATTAAATAAAATTCCATTCAGATTTATCCAAAGTTATGCGGTTGGTTATATATTAATTAGATTAAATTTATATTTAATACCTCTTAGCACTACATTAGATCCTTATTTTAATTTCACATTTTAATTAATATTTTTTATTATTTTTTTTTTGTGAGACAGAACTTAGTGGTTAAGATAAATAAAATATGATTTTTGCTCATTCGCGGGTATTCCATGAAATAGATATGCGATTGACCTTTGGTCAAATCATATCTAAATTATTTCAATTTGTATTATAGAATAAAATTTGAAAAAATAAAGTGCGACATTTATTTGTTTTTAGTGGAAATATATCTTTTTTACCGTAGTATTATTTACATTTATGTTTGAAGGAGATATAGATTATCGTTTGGAATTGTTTTGCGAAACTTTTAAATATGAATTCGGTTTTGAACAATCGTGGTGGATTTTAAATTATATTCACTTAAACTCATTTCAAATCCATTCATTTTTTTTTCAATTAAACCCAAATGCACCCTAATTTTTTTATTACACAATAAAATAAATAAAGAATAAGGTAAAGCAAAACATGGCATTTATTTTTGATAGGGATTATTTGTCCATTACAATTTGCTTTGCTTAGTATGGTTGCTTTTGATTCCTTGCTCGCTACGGAAATTATTTATTTAATAATATTTGTCTTCCTTTGGACTATGTTTTATATAACTTCAATTTGTGTACATTGGCCAGATCTATATTTCATAATGACAAAATGAATTAATAAAATATTACATTAGATTAAAATAAAGTGGAAATGATATTGACTATTTCTTGAAATTGTGGTACTAAAACCGATATTAGTTCAATCTCAAAGCAGTAAAAGTATAATCATTTAAATGTAATGACAATTGACAGTGTGTAATAATTTTTTGCAGCTGACATGGATCACGTTAGGGTTCATCCTAGATTCTTACATTCAAATGCTACCAGTCACAAATGGGCTTTGGGAGGTAAGTAGTTATTTAATTAATTTTTATTTTATATAGTTATAATAATTTATTTGATTTTTTTTTTTAATGTATCCCCTAACTGTGAATTTCTTTTTATTTATTTCAGCTTTTGCTGAGCTTCTAGACAATGCCTTGGACGAGGTACTTGTTTCATTACAGTGGCATTGACTATATTTTATTTTTGTAATTGTTGTATTTATTTTGCTTCGTATATCAACAAATTTTTGATGTTATATATATATTCATTAAATTAATTTAGGTGTGTAATGGAGCTACCTATGTCAATGTTGATATGGTTATGAAAGCCAATACTAAGATGTTGGTTGTTCAAGGTATTAAATAATCCTTTGTTTTTTTTTGTTTTTTTTTAATTAATTGCCAAATTACAAGTTAATCTTGCAATGTGTTATACTATATTAGTTTAATTCTATTTTTGTGGCTACTAATTAATAATTATGGATATGCAGATAACGGTGGCGGCATGACTCCGGATAAGATGCGGCAGTGCATGTCGCTCGGGTATTCTGCAAAAAGCAAGATGGCAAATACTATTGGTCAATGTACGTCGTCGGTCAACTAACATTCTTTTACGAAGACATCATTCATCTATAATAAATTAATTATAATGACATCAACAAATTTTTCGTTTCATTTCGACAGATGGAAATGGTTTCAAGACTAGTAGCATGAGGCTCGGAGCAGACGTGATTGTTTTCTCGCGCTGTCGGGGAAAGTACGGGCTAAGGTACTTTTTTTTTTTCCCGATTTTTTAATGACAATCGAAATATGGGGCGATTATATTTATCGATGTTTATATATATTTTTTTGCCTTGTAGCACAACACAAAGCATCGGATTGCTGTCGTTTACGTTCTTGCAGAATACCGGGAAGGAAGATATAATAGTTCCGATTGTGAGTTTAATTTGCTGGTCTATTAACAAATATTCTTATGGACAAACTGTAAATACGTAACTAATATATATAGGAAAACGTGTTGCACGGATTTATGATGTGGTTTATTTGATTGTTTAGGTCGATTATGAGAAAACGGGAGAAACATGGAACAAGCGTTTGAAATCATCCGACGAATGCTGGCAAAGAAATCTTGAAACCGTCGTGCAATGGTCTCCGTATGATAGCGAAGAAGAACTCGTAGGACAGGTACTATTTCGATTTTCCGAAGTTTGATATATATATTATTATATTACGACTATAGCTTATAACTTCTATTAACTAATTGTACGCTTAATTTTTTGTCTAGTTTAATTTCTTGGAAGATCAAGGAACACGTATCGTAATCTATAATCTCTGGGAGGACGACGAAGGATTACTAGAACTCGATTTCGAGGCCGATCAAAATGTACGTTTTTTCATACTCGAATACTATTTAATTATTTTTCATAATTATAATTTTTTTTTTTTTTATTTCAGGACATTCAAACTAGAGCTGGCAACAGAGATGACAAGAAGTTAATGACAATAGCAAATGACCACCCAAGCTCTAGGCGGTTTCTTACTTATCGACACTCGTTGCGGGTACAAATATAATACTCGTTTTTCTCGTTAATTTGATTTTTCCTTCTTTTATAAACTTTGTTAATTAAATTGTTATTACATGTTTTTTTTTATACAGAGCTACGCGTCGATTTTGTACCGTAGGATTCCACCTGGTTTCTCGATCATCTTACGAGGAAAGGAAGTCGAATATCACGACATAGTTGATGATTTGATTCACCCTCAAAAGCATGTTTACAAGCCGGTAGCTTGTGCATCATCCAAAGATCCCAATGTAATTAAAAATATTAATTAATATTATTTTACCACCCCCTAATCTTTCGTGCTATACGCAAAAACGGGCTCATAATTATTTAATTAATTATATTTTTTTTAATCTTATATTGTTGCAACAGATGTCTGCAGCTGTAACACTTGGATTTATTAAAGATGCAGGACATCATATTGATGTTCAAGGGTTCAATGTATATCATAAGAACAGACTTATTAGGGTTAGTTTTGTTTCTAACTTTCTACTCTCTTTATTTTTCTTTAATTTTTTCGTAATCAATATAATTTATTTTATTTTATTTTTGTAAAATCAGCCGTTTTGGAGGCTGTGGAACGCCTCGGGAAGTGACGGTCGAGGAGTCGTAGGTATTATTTTTACGAGTATTTTGATTTACATTTGTTATATAAAATATAATCATGTGGATTTAAAAAAAACGATAATTACATCTTATATATTTCTCGCTTTACGTATTTTTTTAAGGTGTTTTGGAAGCGAATTTTGTCGAGCCGGCACACGATAAACAGGGATTTGAGCGCACAACTGCGCTTTCTAGACTCGAGGCTAGACTGATACATTTGCAGAAGACTTATTGGTTTGTTCTCCTTTTTCAATTTATTTTTATTTTTCTTATAATCTAGTGAATATATATAATTTACTGATTTGGAAAAAAAATATATAATTTATCTAACAGGTCTACAAATTGCCACCTGATTGGTTACGCTCAAAGGCGTCACTCAAAGAAGCCCGTTTCCCCCGAGAAAGAAGAAGCATCACCGCCTAATGCTGACGATAAGTCGAACTCCACACATAATACAACGTTGGCCCCGAAATCGAACGGCAAAAAGGGCCAAAAATCATCGCCTGTTGTTAGAGAGAGAAATCGGTTTGAGGCACAGCCAGCTGTAAATCATAACACCTCGTCTTCTTCTTCTCCATTACGAGTGGCGCCTGAATCAATGTTTCCACCACAAGATGCTCAACCTTCGAACATGCTTGTCAAGGTAATAAACGAAATCGTGTTTTTTGATTTAATTTTTCAGCTTCTCATGCATTTACTAATTATCTTAATTATTTTTCGGTATGTTGAAAAAAATATATAGATAGAAGATGTCAACAAAGCTGGACCTACACCGCCGTTTTCTTCACTTACTGAAATGGTTCTTAAGTTGATGGACGAGAATCGAAACTTGAGAAATAGGTATCGTAACTAAACTACTAATGCAATGGGAATCTATGTCGGCGTTTTTTTTTAATAATATATTTTGAGCCCTTGATTTTGTATTTGCAGTTTGACGAATGCATTGCATGATTTGCAAAATGAAGAGGACAAGAACATGGCGCTGAAAAACCAGGTAATTAATTTATTTTTTATCGTGAGATAATGTAATATCTCAATTACACGAGTAGGTTGATTGGTTTATCGTTTCTTTTATGTATATATCGAGAGGTGATGATGTAAATATTCTCCGTTTTCAGCTTCAAGATGCAACGGATATTATGCAACAAATGGATCAAGAACAAGAAAAGTTTGTGACTTCTTTTGAAGAAGAAAGAAATCGACGAGAACAAGCGCAACAACATATGCAAAGAAGATTAAAGGTGTGTGTGTATATATAATTATATATAGCGACAATGTCGATTATCGATGTTTATTTGTGCTCTTGTTAATTCTTTTTTTCTTTTCTTCTTTTTGCAGGAGGCTACTGAAACTATTGAAGGATTACTGAGAAAAGTAAAGATGTTGGAGGCCCAAGGCCGGTTTTGACGACAAGCTCCACATGCGATTACTAACGACCCTAATTTAAAAGCGTCTTGAATTTTATGCTATGAACTTATAGTTAGATATGTTTAATTATTATATTCACCCTTGCGATGCACGGAGGTGTATGCTTATATATAATAATAATAATAATAATAATAATAATAATAATAATAATAATAATAATAATAATAATAATAATAATAATAATAATAATAATAATAATAATAATAATAATAATAATAATAATAATAATAATAATAATAATAATAATAATAATAATAATAATAATAATAATAATAATAATAATAATAATAATAATAATAATAATAATAATAATAATAATAATAATAATAATAATAATAATAATAATAATAATAAATTAACGTTTTTTTGTTTTGTTTTTTATTATTAGCATACAATTGTTTTCTTATTTTAGCACCATGTGCTTGGGTACAATTACGCTTATTTGTTTTTTCATTTGTTGTATTAGATTATTCATTTGCTATATTGTAACGATTTTCCTATTTACTTAACTGTTTCCTTCATTTTTTTAGTCGTTGAATTAAAGACTTATATAAAATAGTAGAAATGTTATGTGTTTTTACTTTTTACTGAAAAATACTATAGATGTCTTCTTTATCTAAAAAGAGTAACAAAATTAAAATTATTTATTTTATAATATACTTAATCTATTTTATTTATTTGATTTTATTTAAGAAAGTAACAAACTTGAAATTATTTATTTTAAACCACTATAAATCTATTCTACTTATTTACTTTTATTTGAGAGAATTATGTTGGATCATTAATCCAACGTTGGACTTATATGTGAAATATTATGTGTTGCAAGACTGTCACGTAAAGTTAAGCCCGTTAAAGTGATCGACTAAAGTTTATCTGGATTGGGCTTTAATGTGTCTAATAGGGTGTGGGTCTTTAATGTGTAGAGACATTTAGGGTAATTTTATTATAGTGATGGGCTAAAATAAAATTACACAAGATAGCCCATTAGGTTATCTATATATACTCGTCATGGTCCCCGGGTCACATGTACGAATTCCATTCTCTATGTATTCCATCGACATAAAGAAAACGAAGAGAAGTCTAAAGGGTTCTCGGGTTCGGATGTACATGATGATCTGGAAGATAATTACGACGGGTTCGGATGTACATGATGATCTGGAAGATCCATGGTCGTTCTATATCAATTCCACAATGAATTACGAAGTAAGGTACGCTTCCGATTTATATTTATGCACAATATTCTTGATGATTCGGCATGACGGTTCCATGGGATTTATTCAAGTTTATTCCAACAAGTGGTGTCAGAGCCGACAATGTTCGAATCATCTAGATTTTTCTTATTTATTTTGATTGATTCTCTGTGTCATGAAATTGATTTTCATGGATAAAGTTTATTTGATAATTTGGATTAAAGTTTTTCGGCAATAAGGTTACCGAACTAAGGTTAATTAAAAAATTTCGGTGACTCATTAATCGGACTGAGGATTAGGGTTTAAATCTGAAAATTCCAACTTAAGGGTGGTTATTGGATGGCGGCCGGTAATGTATGCCCGGCCGAGCCACCCGTACGGCAACACCAAGAACGTCCTAACCTCCCCGACCGCCCACTGCCGCCGGTTCAATTCAGGTTACCACCGCCATTAAAGTCAGCAACCCACCAGTTCAAGCATCATATCAACCCCAATTCAGTCAACAAAAAAAAAAAAGGGTAAATCCGACAACCATAGTTTAATTTCCGGCGGCGAATAAGAAGATTCACGCGTCCCTCGTCTTTTGCGACGATTGGTCGTGCTATTCGCCAAAGGAGATCAGCGGATCGCCGACGGTGGACTCCGCCGGCGAGAGGATTGTCTGGATCTCATTTCCGGCGATGGTTGTTTTGTGGGTAACGCAGCGGCGGACGGCGGTTTATGGTATTAAGGGTGGGCAGCGGTTTTGAGGTTGAAGAGAGATCTTGCGGCGATTGATTTTGCTGGAGAAGGAAAATTAGGTTTATGAAGTTTCGGAAAATATCAATTTAACCCCAGATTTAGGGTTAGGGTTTCTGTAATTTCAAATTTGGTCCCCTAGTTTAAGTTTGAGATATTTAGCATTATTTCAATTTGGCCCATATTTTGGTTATTCCCGATTTTGAACCGGGGTCGATTTGAAATAATGAAAAAAATTCGTATTACAGCCTCAGGCTTTCGAAAACTGCATTTCAGTCCCCGTTTTTCAAGTCTCTCTCAAAAACAGTGATATACATTCAGACAATACAGTTTAACCCCAAAAATTAAGTATTTCTGAATCTTAGGTCCCTTTTCACTCAAAGGCTTTTCTTTCAAAATTTCTATTCAGTCCTTCAAGTTTTTTTTCTGGATTTTCTGAATTTGGGGCAAATGCAATTTTTTTTTAAGGAATGAAAAATTGATTTTAAGTTTTACTAAAGGTTTTGGGACCACTTGAAATTTATGTTTTATGAAGAATCAAACCAATAAGTGAATTATTTTTTAATTCTCTTTAAGAACTTGTTTGGTCAATAAAGTGAGATTCAGTTTGAATTTCAATTTAGTTTCCTGAGGGATTTTATTTTGGGGAATTTCAGATTTCTAAAGTTTGTGTCTTTTTGGATTGAAATTTGGATTAATTAGTCAAATTATGGATATGAATTATTATAATTCAATAGGTTTTGACTCGTTAAAGTAATGGTTGTTTGTCAATATATGTATGGGTTATCATGTATAACTCAATAAGTTTTGACCCAATCGATATTTGGCACGTAGACTCGTGACTTTATTATAAATTTGAGTCTTCATTGTTTTGTGAAAATTCATAAGAATTTAGATTCATTTCTCCGAAATTTATTGTTGGCTTTGAATCTAATAAGGTTGAATTTGTGAGCTCATTTTTTTACTTTAAGCTCAAATTCAAATAAATATGAATTTTATGATTTATGGTTTAGGTTCATCTTTGGGTTATAAAGTGAAGATTTCTAGTCGACTTTATTTTGACTTTAAATCTAAATAACGTGGGATTTGGGTTCATAAGGTAATTTAATTAGGCCTCTGACTAAAGATTGTTTGAGAAAGTCTAAAGGCTATAAATACTAAATTAAAAACGTGAATAAGTAAATTCAATAACTTGATCTTCAAGTCGGCTTCTCGATCACCCTTCTTAACTCGCGACATTGGGCTGTGCACGTGCATGCAATTAAAGCACAATTTCGACACTGTTCCACTTCGAATATCTCTTCGCTCGAAACATGAAAGTTGTACATCTTTCAGTTATCTTTCGGAATCATTTTGAATCAGCTTAAATGGACTTCATATGCGAGAGTTATAACTCGATTGGTAAACTCTGCCAGAATAGGCGAGAATCTCGGATGCATGGAATTCGACTTGTCCAACGACTTCTTCTCTTCATTTTCTTCCAATTCCAAACCACGGACTCTTCAAAGGCCTGAGTCAAGCCTTTATTCTTCAATCCCAACACGAACGGCTCCATTAATATCACTCGCTTTCTCTTCTTCCAATTCTTTGTCTTGGAGCTTGTGCGGATCGTATCATTCTCCCCCTCTTCAAAAGGATTCGTCCTCGAATCCGGACAAATATCACAAGGAGTATAAACAAAATCGATCTCTCTGTTCGGTAGCAAACTTACACATCTCTGCACCACATCGCAGAACACACCATCTTGCAGCCATTGAAATGTGTACGAACATGGATATTTTGTAGCTCGAAGTCCCAATGCGTCCAACCTCTGTATATAGAATGGACGAAGCATCTCTCTAGGCACCGCCATCTCCTCAACATTCACACTGAGAGTTCGCACTTTGCTTAGCTCGGCATTAACTTCGATGCATGGCTGGCTCATATCATTCTCCACCTCTTCAAAAGGATTCGTCCTCGAATCCGAACCTTCTTTTTCTTCAAGTGGTGGCGCGGGTTTGCAATTTTCTTCCCCCTTGGACTCGACCTCAACATCCTCATTTAAGTTTTCCTCAATCAGCGGTTTATCGCTTGCTAAATTGGCTACAGTATTCTGATTCTCAAAAGCTTTACGAGTATCTTCCTTTTCACGTGGCGATAAAGAATCACCCTTTCTCTTCAATTCCTCTTAGTTCGACCGCAATTTCATGAATGGCTTATCCACACAATCTGAAGCAACATGACCAAAACCCAAACACCAAAAACATTTAGTATCATGAATTGAACGAGATTGAGAAGAATAATAACCTCTTTCTTTAGTCTCATATAGAGGATCGAACGTCGCCTCTCTCGGTATTGATTCCCTATCTCGGTTTGATGAAGAGCTCCACCGTGATTTTCGACTCGGCGATCTCCTTTCTTTTAACTCAGTAGCATAGGATGAATGAACTGAGTACTTACTTGATCTAGGATAATCATATAAATCTCGCTCGTAGTAATCGGAATAAACACGTCTTGGTCGATCGAACTGAGCCCCTCGCTGCAAATAAACTTCTCTTGGTGTTGCAGCAGTCACACCATATCTTCCATCACGATAAACCTCCTTATCACGATGAGGTAGAACCGGTTGGTGAACATCACGTCGTAGGTATGACCCTCGATCATGTTGATCTTTGTTTAGTTCTTTTAGTTGGGTAATAATTCCTTCCATCCGATCTTGGAGTTCCTGGAAGCGTTTTCCCATTGATGTCATTCTACGCTGCTCAATTCTTTCTCCTTTATAACCGGCCTTCTCGGACATGATCAATACAATTTTTTTTTTTTGACACTAATAAACCCTAACTTGGGCAGTAAGGAACTCTAAACAAGTACAAAATTCGACTTTTTTTTTTTTTTTTTTTTTTTTTTTTGACAAAGACTCAAGACAAAACCTAACTTAGACTCAAAGAAACTCAAAACAAAATAACCAAAAATTCGTTTTATTTTTATTTTTGACTCTAAACAACTGAACGAAGAATAAAAGAAAGGAGGACTAGAAGACTCGACAAAAGACAAAAGAAAACTACGATGACACGAACAAGACTGACTCAAAATAAAGATAAAGATAGGTGAAACCTGTTTTGGATGTTGGCTCTGGTTACCAACTGATACAAAACGAAAAGCAAAAGGAAGACACGAAAGAAAGGACTGACTCAACAATTAAGATAAAGGATAGGCGAAACCTGTTTTGGATGTTGGCTCTGGTTACCAACTGATACAAAACGAAAAACAAAAGGAAGACACGAAAGAAAGGACTGACTCAACAATTAAGATAAAGGATAGGCGAAATCTGTTTTGGATGTTTTCGATCTTGCTTCCGCGTAAGGTATTAGGGTCTCGTAATAAGTTCTACGGGGTATGTATTTTGGTTTATGTATTTTGATATGAATTAAGATTCAAATATTGGTTTGGTTTATGTATTTTGATATGAATTAAGAGAAGCAGCATCTCGCCTAAGTGAGCTCTCCTGTGAAACTTAATTTATTTTAAAATACAAAAGGTTTTGTGCATGTAATAATGTGGGTATTGTGTCGGCCCTAAGGAAGGCCAATACTTTGCTTAATTGCATGTGCATATTGTGGTGGTAAACGCGTGGCGATTATTTGGTGTTTTGCATGTGAATAATAGTTTGGCCCTAAGGTAGAATTATTATTTGATGTGCTCTTATTGTCAGTGTTTGATTACTACACCAAGATATCACTTACAAGTTAATATCATTGTCCAAAGATAAGTTATTAATGGAGTGCCCGATATCTTGAGATGGAATATACCTTTATTTGAATTTGTGGTTGATATATAATAAATATGTGACGGTTATTAGAATTTCATGTGAACTGTAAATTGGCCCTAAGGTAGATTTATTGTTTGACACGATAGTTTACCGTCAATATTTATTTATAAAAAGTTCCCGCTTAAAAGTTAAACGAGTCGTCCATAACGTCAAGTTAACATTGGGCTAGGTATTTTATGATAAATGAACCCAATTCCGTTTAATTATGTCATACATACATAGATTCTATTTGATATTTTTATGACATAATAGTAGTTGTGAGCATGTCTTCTTGTTTATGTTCTCTATTTAGTTCATGCTTCCGCTTCTGCGTTATCTGTCAATGTTAATTTTGGTTCTTGTGCTTTATAGCATAATTTACTTATTATTTAGGATGCATAGATCTTGATTTTACCTTTTAAATAGAACGATCAACTAGTTACTTCTGAATTAAAAGTTTCCTTAAGGTTAAGGTAAAAGGGACTTAAAGAATATGATCGTTCTAATTATAAGTATTAAGTTCACTTGGTGCACCATTTAAGAAATCTTTAGGGGCATCAACATTGATAGGACAAGTACTAGAATATTTCTTAAGGCACTTTTGATACGTTTTATTATTAAAATGACAAGTTTGAATCAAGTATAGTTTTGACTAATCTTGTTTCATTATTAATAAAAGAAAAGAAATATAAAGGAGTACATTCAGTATTAGTTTAATCTCACTATCGGCTTAAGCACTAAAGTTACGATTTATTAACTTTAAAGTGCATATGGTTTGATTTTTCTTTCTACATCTATAGTCAACATAAGGTTTGTTTCAAAACCTGAAGGATAAATGAATTCTTTGTCAGCTTTTATTTGACTATGTGTAGGAATAAAATGACATAAGTGAGAAAAGACTAAAAGTACTCAGTTAACTACAATCCCATAGAATGACACATTGTTGCAGTAGAGACATCATAATAGATTTTCCAAAAGTAACAGAATCATGTCCGCTTTATCTGTTATTTAAAGATACGAGTCTCCAAAGTATGTCAAATGACAAGTAAGGTTTTGCTTCTAATCTTAAGAGAAGCACTAAAGACTGCAACATATGGTTTTAAAGACGGGATGTATAAGATCTCTTAAGGATATTGAGTTTAAGGGGGGGGGGGGGGGGAAGGGTTATACTCATTGTTGTATGAAAGAGAGAATTAATTTTTCTCATTTTGTTGCTATAGACAATAATAAAAATACTGTCTTCTCCTACATGAAGGAAATTGCTCCTTAAAGATAAACTCAACAACCTTAAGAGAATACAATATTAAATTGAGTTAAACTTAAGATGATAATGACATTTGGGATCTTATCAATTGTCAAAAGTGTGAAATCATTTGGTCACAAATGTATATTTGAGACCGTTTGAATTTCAATAGGCAATGTTGAAAAAGTTATAACTAAAGTCTAATCACCTAGAGTTTCACTTAATACGGACTCTGTTTTAGAGTTTTAGGATTCCCTAATCGGTGTTACAACTCATAATGATTATCTCATATTTGTGAGGTAAATAAAGTTAATGTTTGTATATACCATGTGATACGTACTCAATGCCCAATAAAGATCTTACGGTAAAAGAAGAATGCAAAAGGTTCCCTATGCTGTCAACTTCGGGAAATTATATGCATACTTCGGTATTCGGCTAAATCGTACATAAAGTTTGACAGATATTTAATAACTCTTTAAAGTGGATCTTTGGAAATAAACAAAAGGGTTATACAGTAATTATAGAGAACATAAGGTCATTTATGCTCATTTATCGAAATCAATTCATTTGGGAGATCATTTGTTTTTTTGATTTCGAGTTTGTATGATGCTTGTACATTATGGATCCATTTAAAGTATACCTAATTAAAAGAGAATTTAAGTACGAGTGTTTAGCCAACACCCAAAACTCTTTTTTAACTACGGTAATCAGTTTATAAAAGCATCTTATTTTGTAATATACAGAGTGGATAGGTGTCTATAGAATACGTCGATATAAACTCCATTATGTGTGCACACTAAGGATGTCACCCAATAGGTCTAATGAGCATATTGCTCGTATGGGTGTCATATTAATTAAGGATATTCGGTTTTAGTGGGAGTTTATAATAAATGTGTTCTTTTGGCGTAGACACAATTTTTGGGTTCATTTCGGATTAAGGATACGCTTAGGATAATTTCTGCAGAAATAAGGTTTTGGTTTATTCACACTCTGATTTGTTAAGGTTTGATCTCGTTAAGGAGGACCAATTGAAAATAGGTATGTTAAGGTCACATTGCATGACATTTCCATGCTACACATCCACATCATAATCTATGTCATTCAATTGTGTTGATATTGTGACCATTGTTGGGTCCCGTTACGACTAATGTGAATGAAGGCCCCTTTGATTCAGTGTTAGCATGATTGATGGACGAGATTGGTTATAGACACACTTCAGTAATGACAGCAAAGTTGAGCTCAAAATTTATTTATGCAACCTATAATTATAAAGTTACACATATAGTCCAAGTGGGAGATTGTTGGAACATTAATCCAACGTTGGACTTATATGTGAAATATTATGTGTTGCAAGACTGTCACGTAAAGTTAAGCCCGTTAAAGTGATCGACTAAAGTTTATCTGGATTGGGCTTTAATGTGTCTAATAGGGTGTGGGCCTTTAATGTGTAGAGACATTAGGGTAATTTTATTATAGTGATGGGCTAAAATAAAATTACACAAGATAGCCCATTAGGTTATCTATATATATTGGTCATGGTCCCCGGATCACATGTACGAATTCCATTCTCTATGTATTCCATCGACATAAAGAAAACGAAGAGAAGTCTAAAGGGTTCTCGGGTTCGGATGTACATGATGATCTGGAAGCTCCATGGTCGTTCCATATCAATTCCATGAATGAATTACGAAGTAAGGTACGCTTCCGATTTATATTTATGCACAATATTCTTGATGATTCGGCATGACGGTTCCATGGGATTTATTCAAGTTTATTCCAACAGTATTCCGTTCGACATAGAACTAATTAAATTAATGGAATCAAATGCACTACACCACCTTGTTGGTCCACTTAAATCAAACAGACATAATAGATATCCTGCAAAGTTCACGTACTTCGTATGAATTCAGTTCAATGCATTTTATTATGAAACAACAATGACAATAATCCGTAATTTAACAATATTTACATTATATAACTTACCAAATGTGAATGCAACGAATATGCTAGAAATACAAAATCACGTGCAAACATACCTTCTTATAAAGAGCACACACACATTAATATGAATAAATATAGTTATAATAATATAAATAGACGATAATTTACTATATGTACCTTCGTATGCGCTGAAATACTTCTTTGTAAACAACGTTGCTAGTTGAACTCGACAATCCACCGGATTTGGACTTGATTACGATCTTTATGCCAGATCTACTCTTGATTCTCAAGAGTGCAACGTACAACTGACCGTGGCTGAATACAGGTCTGGGTAGATACAAACTGATGAAGTAAAGTGTTTGAACCTGACTCTTGTTGATGGTCATTGCAAAGGAAACCATCAGGGGAAATTGTCGCCTCAAGAACTTAATTAGCAGAGTAGAGTTCGACGGGACCAACGTCATCCGATGAATGAAAACAACATCACCGGTATTTTTGCCGGATAGAACCTTGCAGCTAAGAACATGAGTTCCCATTCTAACAACTTGAAGTTTGGTTCCATTGCAAAGGCCTCTCGCGCGGTCGATGTTTTGTATGAGCATAACATGAACATTTTCCTTGAGTTTCAGCCTATGTGAAGGGAGACCGGAGCAAGACACGGTGTTGAGGAATTCGGTCGTATAAATTTCAGCATTCTCTTCCGAACTCATCTCATCCTTGCACATACTATCCGCACTGAGGTACCACTAGTCTATGCCGGGAAGGATGGAATTTAAGTAATCATTGACAAACTCAACGCAGTCATTAGTCGGCGCAAGCACTGCCCTCCCTTGGAAATAATCGGGATTTGATATGATACTCAACAAATCCAGATATAAAAATTGCGAAAAATTCAATAATGGATATTTGGAATCGGGAATTAGCATGTCCTCGGAAATGTCAACAAACGCTTTACCATCGTTTTGCTCTCCTGCCTCCCCATTACCGATACTCAGTATCCAATCAGCAAACTCCTTTACTTCTTCAACTTCGGATGGATTGGAGCTTGATTGAAGCCTCATATTCGTATGCAAATTAAGAACCTTACAGTCTTCCCAAAGCTGAGATGAGTTGATCGTAGCGTGAACAATGTCCTGCCTTGATGCCTTCAACACAATAGGTAAAATCTGTCTAAAGTCTCCGCCAAGAACGACCACCTTGCCACCGAATATTTTGAGAACATGCGTAATAGATCGCAAGGTCTTGTCAAGCGCTTCGAAACAATGTATATGCATCATCAATGCCTAGTCCCATATAATGAGCCTCGCCTTATAAGCAATTCTGCATGTGGACTCTACTGTGTAATGCTGCAGGTGGAACCATCGTACACAACGATGGGCAGTCCAAATCTAGAATGAGCGGTCCGGCCACCGGGAAGCAACAACGATGCTATGCCACTCGAAGCAACATTAAGAACTATTTCCCCCTTCGAACGGACAACAACAGACAACGTTCTCCATATAAATGTCTTTCCGGTACCTCCGTAACCTTAGAGGAAGTACATCCCGCCACAATTCTTCGACACAACATCCATGATGGCATCGTAGACCCTTTTCTGCTCATCTGTGATAGAAGAAAAATATCGTTTGAGTTCTCCAGCCATAGCAAATACATCGTAGTCCAACTCATTGAGCACTAATTGGTTCTCCGTGCCATCCATCAACGAATCAAGTGTCATCGGCATAGAGTCAAAATTCCGCAAGCTCTTGCCGTTACTCTGTAGGATCTTCTTGATTTCTATCAGTGGGTAGTTCTTCAAACTATCATCCAATAAAGTCAAACCTGCAAATGCATAGATAGTAAGACAAATGTGTTCCGGACAAAATGAGAAATTGAACAAAAAAATTGTAAAATAACAAAAACTAATCGATACATGTATTATTATGATGTTTCTAGTGCTTGTATATAATATCATCAGACAAATTGGACAAACATTTCTCCCAAACGTGTTCCGGCCTGCTCAAACTATTGAAAAACAACATAACATCGAACAAGAGTCTGAGGAAGTGTCCGTTTGCGCAACCGTATGCCTCTATAATTGCACCAATGTACTCCTTGTCATCTTCCAACAGCCCCAAAATATAGCACGCATCCCTAAACGTTGCGTAAACATTGCCACCCACCGTTATGATGTCTTCGTAACTTTTGCACCCTCTTTGGATGTTGAGCAACAATATCAGATAAATATCCTCCACATTTCCTCATACGCATACAAATATCTGCAGTCATAATACATTTTGATTTCATCACGAACAGCAGGACTGGCGTCTGTAGACGGAAGTTGGAAAAATGTTGTCGTGACATGAACGTGTCCCTTGTTGACGTACTTGAACATATACTTTATTGACTTGCTCTGGTTGCACAACTCGATATTGACGTGGGCTCGGTATTTACTCAATAACACACGGTTGTAGAGAACCACAAATCCATTGTCAAGAATAGTATTCTTCTTCCTAACCGTTCTTCCGTCATCCATTCTCCTATATACCGGGTAACCATCAGGGCCGGCCTCGGTTTGCTGTACATGTTTTTTGGAAACCTCTTCATGCAAATGCCATTCTTCATGCAAGGTGAATTCAAATTCTCATGGTCTTACCGACCGTGTATCATGTATTTCTGAACCAAGTTGTACATCTTTCTGTAGGTTTTTTTGTTTGGAATTTCTGCATACATTAACCTGTCGATGTCGGCAGAGCACTTAGGTTTGGCATCCTTATCTGACCACAACAATATATGTGTATGAGGCAGACCACGCTTCTGAAATTCTATAGTCACACATCTACGTATAAAAGTAATTACATAAATTAATATGCATACTTTAATACGATGCTTGAAGTAATGAATTTACCGTAAAGTAAATTATTAAAAGTAGTTCATGACTTACGTGCTCTAATTCGTTCGTATATATGTCCTTTCTTGAAATCTGTCATCAAGCTATCAAACTTCATTTTGAATATGCGACATAGAATATCAGGGCGATCCTCCGGTCTGAGACTTCTGTCATTGAGGACCCTTTGTATTTCAGGCCATTGTGGATTGCATGTAATAGTTATGAACAATGATGGAAAACCAATCCAATTACAAATTTGAAGTGCGTCGACAAAATTGTTGAACATGTACCGGGATCCAAGAATGAAAGAATCGGGCATAATTTTGCGCTTTCCAATTGATTTTCCCTCACTGTCCCCTTTGAAAAAACGTTCTCCAATGCCTTTGTACATGTCCACATGCAACTGGTCCTGGTTGTGCCTAATAAAATTCAATCTTTGCGACTCAATCGTAGAATACGCGTCCACTCCAAGCTGTTGGAATAACTTTTTTGAATTCAGCAGTAATGGACTGTCGTTCCTTCTTTTTTGGAAACGATAAGCAAAGTATTCTCGCGTAGTTAAGTTCTTTCGTTTTCCACTGTTACCTCGAAAAGAGTCTCTCAAACCAATATTCTCTCTATATCCATCTTCCCCGTAAGGAAATATGAGCGGATACTGGAACGGCAGGTACAATGGGTGCAGCTCACTAATGTGTTGCAGCTTCTTGGACTGAATCTCAACCACAATGTCTCTAACACCCTCTTGTGTGTCAAAATCTCCAACTATCAACGCTGCAATCTCACTCGGATTAGGTAGATTGTAAGTCCTCCCATCGGTGCTATGACTCTTTACCAGCTTTAGCTTACACTTTGCAGGCCTTCCCTCGAAAATCGATCACGGGCACCTCTATACGACTGAGCAAGGACGTTGTTCTCGTAGATCATATCCTTCAAGGATGCAACAATTTGGGTATCAAGGTTGTTCGAGCCATTTCCATACCTACAATAAAATATGATTAAAGAATTGCACTCGCCTTAAATTACTTCATATATATATATATATATATATATATATATATATATATATATATATATATATCGAGTGCATTACTTAAAAAATAATAATGTTCACTACATAATGTAATCACGAACGTGCATATCGAAAAAAAAAAACAAATCACCTTCTTGTGGTTTTGTAGAATGAATTTAGAGAGTTAACCGGAATGTCACAGGTTCCCGATTTAGGATCATAAGAGTGTCGGCTGATGTCTGTCTCGGGATAAAATAAAAAGTAAAAACATTTAATAAAAATGTTCTTTAAGTTTATGTTTTGATGGTGTAAGAAATATTAATTAACGAATTCACATTCATAGGGCAACGTGCTCCCACCGACGGCAATATGGATATTTTATTTCGCTAATATTACACGATTTAGCTTGTCGGATGTTGAAAATTCTTCAACATTCGGTTTATATATAGGAAATCACTACAACAAAATTGGTTTTTGATAGCATATGACTATAGCGTTTTCTTATAAACTGCTATAATTGTTTCTCATGTCTTCAATAATTAATAAAAAAAGAAAGAGAAACGCTATAAGATAAAAATACGGTACCCCACACACGTTTAATTTTTATTTTCGCTAACTCAGGTTAAATAAATCTCAACTCTTAATATCCCTCCCTCCGCCCCATCTCTATCAAACCATTGATTCAAGCAAGAACGCCAAGAGTCTGTAGCATTCATCGGTGAGCCGTGTTCAATTATCTCCTTGTTTCTGCTATGGCGTCATCTCTTACTCTCATTTTTTCACATTATAATCCCTAATTTTACTAGTTTTGTTTGCGAAAAATACCTAATTTCAATTTTTTTGCAAGAAATATCCAGAATCGTCGATCGAGGTTTGGAAGATTGAACATTAACGGAGCAGATTGATGACGCTCACCACCTATTCTCTGCCCTCAATCATCAGGGAAGTTCCCTTTAATTTGCAAAATTCTTTCCTCGTGTCTTTATTTATGTAGTATTATTGTTGTTTATGTTTATAATAGTTTTTATCTAGTTTTAACTCGTTTCTTTGTAGTTTATGTTTTTTAGGAAACTATATAAAATGATATACTTACTGAATGATCCATTTTTTTTTTTTTGCTTTTGGTAGGTACCCCTATGGGGAGTGTGCAGAAGGTGAATACAAATGTCGTATTTGTGTATCTATGTATTGGTAATTGTAGGTAGAAATTTTGAGATGTTGAAAACATAATTCCATTAATTGACATTGCATTTGAATCCAGTTTCCCTTGTTTTTTTTACTGGATTTATGGATAAGTAGAATACTTTAAGTTTATTTTAATTATTTATGATTTTGATTGGGTCTTGTTTCTACATTGCATCAATTATTATAGGTACAGTTTATACCTTCAAACTTTAAATTATAATACTTCATCACCGCTTTGTTGATTAACGAAATGTGATGAACCTTTGGTTTGGTCTGTGCAGCTTTTAGGATGCTGTAATTGTATATGGCGGTGCAATTGAAACTGTGATAGTTACTACTGGAACTCCTTATAATAGTCTGCTATTGAAATTATAAGCAGTAATATAATCAAATAGTCTGGAGTAAAAAGGTATTTAGTTTCCTCTTGATATTTTTAATCATCTGAATTTTGTTTCACACCATTTCATCCTCATTTTAAAGAACATACATTGTTGAAAGGAGTTCGACAGTTATCCACTATTGTTAGGCATTTCCATGACACTTCGCATCATCCAAACTACTGCATAGAAAGATAATTATTACTTTTCTACAGAGGATATACAAACTTTTTCCAAAGATTTATTTTCCCCGAAGAAATTACTTATATCTTGTTTGGATTAATAGCAAGATGGTATTATTGTTGATGACAAATGCAAGTCCCATTAAAAGATATACATCAGGCAGGTTACATCTCGATGGACAACAATTTAACTTGTTAATATTGAAGTTTATTAGCTCTCCTACCAATATCTCTTAGCACCATTGGCCGTTTTGTCATCGAGTTAAATCAGTTTCTCGAATATTATTATTATTTTTAATATCCTTCTATACTTTTTTTTTATTAGTCGTTAATATTGAGTTAAATTTTGGATTGGCGTAATTTTAACTTGGTAACAGTTTTACTATCGACTGATATCATTTCTCAGGCTTCCCGGAATTTCTAGAGTTTTTTTATCCAAAGGTTGGTCAACGAGTTTCGAGTGGTTCTCCCATTTTAGTGGAAAAACTAACTCATGATTGATGATCTGATGTTTCAACAGAGAACATTGTGTTTTTGCTTGTGAACAAGATGGTGATGGGCAACTATGTTATTATTCCACGGGAAGGGTAATCAATTTAATCTTGTAAAGGTAATTCCTATTCCTTATCAGTCAGCAATTACCAAGGATAATGTC